ATTATACTGTCAAGAAATTCTTTTGCACAACATTTATGCACCAAATGAAGACCGCCCTAAATTCATGTCAGCTATGATAACTCTGTTTACTCAACATCATAGAGACCTGGGAATAGTTGCTGGCCATTACATGGGGTTGACGTTAAGGATTTTTACCACTTGCCCTTTGGGCAAGTAACATTCACATTTAATTTGCCCAGAAACAATTTTTACTTGCCCAGTATAAAGTTTGATAAATATAGTTCCTAATATTCATTTTTGTATATATATATATATATATCAATGAAACATGTTTGTTTTTTAAATGTTTTTTGTAATTCAGTATTTTTTAAGTTTCCAGGTTCCTGGTGTGTATATGCATGCGTCAGATAATGAACTCAAGCCTACATTACCGTGTTAACATGCTTTTCAATCCTTCCTGCACATTCTTTTCAAACTAAACTTTGCTTTAAACTGTTGTGTGCTCGGAAAAATATAAATTGTAATGTTAAAATTCTAAAAAAAACTTGACAGGTTAAAAACTTACACCACTACTACTCACCAATTTAACATGTTTAGCCCTATAACATTTAAATGCACCGCTCCAATGTCTTAGAGAAAAAAATTTAATGAACATTTTTTAATGTATGACCTGCATCACTGTACAGAAGACTGCCATATGATAGAAATATTTACGCTGTGCGCAAACAATATTATTATTTTCCTAATCTCTGACTGATCATTTTTAATCTAGCGTGTATTATAGTATAGATTAAATTCATCATCCAGCTGCTGCTCTGCACAATTCTCTCCCCAAGAGCTAGCTGAAAATCACGCGGCTTTTTCAAATCATGCGAGAATGTGTATAAAACAACAAAAAAGGCCCCGGCAACGCTGAGGGTTGTTTTCAGCGAATGTCGGCCGATTTTAAAGTCATTTTGAGATAAATAAATTTGTTTTGCGATCATTGCACTTGCCCGGCGGGCAAATGCAATTAAATTTGTACTCTCCCGACAATAAAAACTACTTGCCCTGGGAGATCGGGTGATGGTTAACATCGAGCCCTGCTGTAACCCTATACGGCATATAGGTGTAATGTTTGTCTTAAGGGATCTAACCCACATGCAGAATACTCAGAGGCTGGGAAAAAGTTCACAATGTTTATTGAACAATCACAATTAAATGAATACTGATTCTGGGATAAATCGGGTCCGGGTCTGGTCACGACTGGTTTTTACTGCAGAGAAGGACAGATTGGTTGGCAGGCTTCCAGGTAATCTTGCGGGTTGAATGAGTGCAGGTCTATACCTGTTCAGAGGTTGAGCAGAGCGGCAGAAGGGGGGAACCAGGAGGGTCCAGAGGCTGTTGGCTGGCAGAGGGCTAGGCAGAGGCAGGGCTTGGCTTGTGATCTTACTGATCTGGGTCTGAGCTTCTCTCTCGGCTTCTTCTGAGAGCGGGCAGGCAGGTATCTGACAGATTTGGTTTTCCAGGGTTCTTCAGAGAACAGACAGATTGGTTTCAAACTGAGAAACTCTTCCAGGTTTCAGGTTTCAGGCTGGTTCTTCCTGAGAAGCAGAGAGGACAAAAACAGATTAGGTTCANAGTGCCTTGAGATGACATGCGTTGTGAATTGGCGCTATAGAAATAAACTGAACTGAATTAAGCCGATAGACTCTGTCATTAAGAGTGACGAGACGTCCACTAGGAAATTCAACCCATCTATGCGGTAAAGTGAAGACTTGATTGAATGTACGTGATAAGGCATCTACTTGAGTAAATAGTTACTCAGGTAAATATTTACCCAGCTGACAATTTCAGTAGATCACATTTAGCCTGGTGAAATGAAATTAGTTAACAGATTTATTGAGTCGGATTCAGGTATTCGGGTTCCAGTAACTCGAGATTTATTCATCTAATATATGGATAATGCGGGATTAAAAAGTGTTGCTGATTGATTGGGCAGGACAGTTTTATGCAGTTAGACAAATATATATATAAGCCTAGGCATCTATATTGAATTCTATGGTTGTGAGTTTAAGATCTCCTTATTGAGCAGTGATAGCTGATGGTAATGCTGTCACACAGTTTATCAATATTGCCTCTAAGTTATATTTGCATTATGTGCAGAATAGTTTTTATATTCAATGCCCACCCATGGACGCAATTATAATGTTTTGCAACTTTTATATATTTAAATTTACATTTTTTATTTAATCAGATAGTATTTGGATACAACTTCAATTTAAAATATGAGTTTATTAACATAAGTAATTTAGCTCCAAGTCAAATATATTTTGCTAAGCAACCTTTGACTATACTAGTGAAACTACTGTGTAAAGAAGAAGGAAAAACATGTTTGAAAACCATAAGCAATGAGATGATGCAATCATATCACAGTTTAGCACGGATTTTGTTTGAGAACAGAACTTTATATGGAAGAATTTGGGATGTGGTCAAACTAGCTGTTAACTAGTTTAGAACAATTTCAGACTAAATCACCAGGCAAATCTAAGAGGTTAATGAAATATTATTTGGCAAAATAATGTTGTTTTTTTTAAATATTTTTTATTTAAAAAAAATATATATATATATATAAAATAAATAAATAAAAAATAAATAAATAAAACAAAAAAAAAATAAAAAATTAAGAAAAAAAAAATATATATATATATATAAAAAAAAAATGTTTTCATTAAATAATTTACTGTGTAAGCTGGCAGCAAGGAGACATACCGATTCCCATTAAAAGACTGCAATCCAATGATCATATGAGAATAACATGAACATTAATTCTTGTGTTTAAACCCCTTGTAAATTAAAGCTTGTTTTATCTTTATAATCTACAGTTCAGACATGTTAGCATAGCGCACCATGCAGACCATCATTTTCGTTTTGTCTTTCCTTAACAGTTGTGCTCTCCATGAGTTCTGCCAGACCTGTACCTTTGCTAATGTCGATTAGGAAAGCTTGAGTTTTCTCTAGCATTTAGCAACTTAGCATGGCAGTCTCAGAGCCGGGGGATTCTTTGTTCCAACCAGGTACACATAAGGAAAGCTCTCCTCCTTCAGCCTTTCAAGCCTCTCCAGGTATCTGAAAGTTCTGGAAACTCAAAGAGAAATGTTGCAAAGAGTCTGTTTTGCAGCCTAGATGTCAACCATTGAGTCCGGTTAGCCTCCGGTCATTTTGCAATGTCTGGTCCCTGGACATGACGCCATGATAGTGTCTCTCTGATGTGAACCTCCATGATCCTCACGGAAACAAGGCAGAAAAATGTAGAGACAGCTGCTTTTTCCTCAAGGCAGTGTGGGGGCAAAGTTACACCTCTGTAGGAGTGTCTTGTGATATGTCTCGGACTGAGGGGGTTTGGAGAACCTTGAGTGTCCGAACAGCAGAAAAACCCTAATCCTTCTACTACCCCAATATAGGGTGCCCTGATGTCCGGCTTTAGGGCGGACAGTCTGGATTTTCATTGCACTGTGCGGCATCCGGCGCTGCATCCAGCCGGATGTGTATTTGTCCTCCTTTATGAGGCACTAGGCTTGTAGAGCAGGTTTTATTTATTTTCTGGGCTGCAGCACAATATCCAATCATCAAAAATGCATCACTATCTGATCTAACAGATGATTGGCTAAGAGTGGCGGCGTGTCAGATAAAGATCTGCTTGTCATTGGTTAAAAAAGTAAACAAGGATCAGAATTACTGATGCTAAGTATTAAAGTCAGCATCCTGTCAAAACCAGGACGTCTTTTAACCCAGAATAGACAAAAGAGCGTGAATTTATGACCAAAGGTAGATTCATTCCATAGTTTCTGCCACTTTGTTGATGCGATGTGTTGTGCGACGCAGTCGAGGAAAAGCTGCAATTGAACAGCGTGCGAGTATGGAGTAACATAAAAGTAATAAACGTGCAGCAGCGAACTCTTCAATGTTGGCTTTTACATTAAGTTTTGTCGCCCCTGGATGCTAAAATAACTTGTGCAGAGCTGCAAGGTGGACTATACTATAAAACATCACTAGTCCTACGTAAGTGTAGACTGTGAGGTGAAAGTGGATTTCAGTGATTGGCCCATAGCTAAAGGGATGACCATAAAGACAGGTCTGCTGCACACAGACACTTAAGATAAGTTCCCAAAAGACTGAGGCTCTTCAAAATAAAGCCATACTTTTAGAGCAGTTGAATGTGTTTTCTAAAATCTCCTTTGTTGTTTAAAAAAAATATTAGGCTATTTTATTATTTATGTTTCTTGTTAAAAATATTTTTTTAACGTTTAAGTCCACACATCTTAAGCTTTGTGGTATTCTGCACTTGAAAGATTCATCTCGGTGGTCACTTTTTAAACACCACAATGTATTAAATAAATACAAATGCAGGGAACCAATTATTTTTTACATTTCTTTAATATTTTGTTCTATTCAGCTACACAAGAATCCTCTTTAAACTACTAAGAATTGTACTATAAATGTGACTTTACCAGATTCTTATGTACACCTTAGTAATTTATTGATATGCGCACAATGTCCTCCTTTTTGGTGCTATAGAAATGGCCACCCTACCCCAATACTTTAGTTAAATATAAAGCCCGAATATTGGTTCCCAGTGTCCAAAATTATTATCATGGTGAATGGCACAAGATATATACCATTTTAGAAAGTCTCCTAGCAAAGCTCATGTCGCACCAATTCTATATGAAACAAAGACATGTTAAACTGCTGATAGACAGATAATCAGAACCCCTAGGAGGAAGGGTCATATTAAAATAATGTGCCTCATCTCATCCTCAGAGTTTCTGTCTTTTATTCATAGTGTCTTCTATTTGGTTCATGCTGAGCTTTTAAAAAAAGACTCCATGGGGCCTTTTCAATATTTGGCTGAGTTTGTCTCTTGTGTACTCATTTGTGAAAAGAGGCCGAGAACAAGTACAGCAATTATTGCAATTATGATAGGAAAATTAAAGCAAACAAAAACCAAGTAAGAAATTGTGTGAATTTAGAAATGTTTGGCAAAAACTTCACATTCACAGTGTGGTTTGACCATATGAGAATATGTTTAATAATATTAATTAATTAATAAATTAGATATTTCAACAGCCAGCATATTAGCCACACTCCAACTTATGTGTTCAGTTACAAAAATGTAAAAGTTGGCGAATGTTTTATCTGAAAGAGTTCAGGTAGATTTGTACTTCCAGGATGTCATAATATTTGGTTTCTTTGAACTTGATGTTTCTGAGTAAAAAACAAAAAGAAATTGTCGTCATGCATCAACTCATATGTGACAACAAAGATTTAAAGGTATTTTCCTAAAGTCTATTGTTAAAAAAATAACGAAACAAAAGACACCCACAGAAGGAGGCCACTTTGAGTTTTGGTTGTACATAAAAAAAGAATAAAGTGGTCTGAAAAGGGATAAGATCCAATATCAGTTAAAGCAGGGGGTTAGATAAGGACACTTTCTGAGTATTTATCTTCATAATTCTGATAGGCAAAAATAATGTACATTGGTTAGAAATGTTTTTTTTTACAGACATCTATTAAAGAAACACTGTTTAGATTTTTGTTTTTCTCAGATTTACAAACCAAAAACCAAGACCCTTTCTTAGTTCATAAAATGTTTTTTTTTTTCCTAAAACATTATTGGCTTTCATTACAGTTAGCAGTTTATATAATTCAGTATTTACCATTGAGTGAACATACAAGTCAATTTAAAAAAAACAATGCCATGCAATATGTTGAAGTATACACCACTGTAGTACTATTTAATTGCGCTTTAAAGGTTCATACTTTCTTGTAAATACGTACATTTATCTTTTTACCTATTGTTAAAATCCTTCATCCGTTTATTATTTTTACATATCACTAGGTGTATAATGTCTACAGGCTACAAGTGTAAAGAAAGTCTTTCATTTCACATTTCATTACCTTTCATAGAACGCACACCAGATGGCAGCGTTGGACTGTTTATCACCCAGTCATGCCGTGATGCAGAAGCCTGAAGCATACACTTTGATATGCTGGAGCACTCAATGGAAGACCAAATACATTATTTAGCAGTAAAACACAGGAACAAAGCTATTGGAACTAAGTTTTATCATGACAATGATTAACTTGACACAAAGTGAGCATTTCTGCAGTTTCCTTTTAGGGTGTTCTCCGTGGCGTTGCAGTTTGTCAGCTCAGCTAAAACAGGGATACACGAAAATGAACGATGAAAGCATAAAGAGAAAGCAGCTGACATCCATTTCATCCACAGATGTACACAAATGGATAATTGGGGAGTTGAGTTTCCTGGACAGAGTTGCTCCTTAAGAGTCTGAGGTGACCCTGAAAACGTAGGTCCCTTCGAGTCCAAGCACAAGTTTGCTCAAAGGCAGAATCACTTATGTGATTAGAAAATCAAGACTAAAGCTATTAAAAATTGAGGCAATCAAAAACGATGTGTAGATGTTTCTTAAGGTAAACTCCTCTGTATCTTCTTAATTGATTTAAGGAAATAATTAAATAATAGGTCATGAATATTAGCTTTAAAACCTGTTAATAAAGCAGCATAGTTTAAGGCAACATTCCCTCAGATCAGAAAACAAGAACAATTTGGATAAAAAAGCATTTCTCAGTTCCCCTTAACATCTCACATCATTCTTAACATTTCTCAAAATTTTCCCTTTGCCTCTATGGTATTGTCTTTCTCTGAGTCTTTTCATTCATGGCGCTTCTCATAGGCTTGGACGGTCCTACCGACAGCCGCACGTGTCCACAGACATTCCAGGGTAGACCTTTAGCACCAGGTTTCTGTCTGGGTCCAGAAAGAGGACACTAAGGGGACTCATCTTGTCAGGAACGCAACATGGTTCAGGGACTCCAGGGATGATTCCAACAGCTCGGACGATACTCTGGATAGTGGCATGATTGGATGGATGTGCCAACTAAAGGAAGGAAGTGTGGAGAAGCAACTGTTAGCACTGAACCTGAACAGCACAAAAACAAACAACAAAAATACTCTTTTTTGGTGAAGGTCAAGGAACTTTCCTCTTCCTTTGTTTAGTAGCAAGTGAACTATTACTCACAACTGGTATTGTGAGAAGTTCTTGCTTAATTGAACAATTCTATATATGATATGACTATCCCCACCCCACCACCCAATGGATCATCTGTAAAACATCCATCTAGGAAGACTTTAACTTAAAATACCCATGACTTACTTTAGGTATAGGGAATCCACATGTGCCAGCACAGTAATAGGCATCAAAAGACTTCGGTGCCAGCACCCATTCGCTCCACCCAATGTCTGCGAAGTCAACCCTGAGGTAGCGTCTGGAGCAAACCTTGGGTTCACTCCACTGTCTCCTTCTGGCCTTTTTCATTGTCCTCTCATCAAAGTTCAGAACCTGTGGCTTGTTCATATCCTCACTGCTCACCTGGCCATGCTTTCTCCCATTTTTGACTGTAGCTTTGGCTTTAGGTGGGAAATATGTGTTCTGCCACAGTTCATGGTTTTTAAAAGCACTGAAATGAACCTCTGGAATGTCATTGGTTTGGATCTGAAGGTGTAGCTCTCTCCGGATTCTGGATGCTGAGGTGGAGGCAGATATATCATCCCCAACAGGAAATGGTCCATACCTCTGAAGGGAAAGGGCAACGCTGTTTGGCTCGTCTATAGCTTGGTCATCGGCATACACCAAGATGTAAGGCAGGTTGGCTGGAGAGAGATGCTCATGGCTGAGAGCTCCTCTTTGATGCATGCCGGCTGCTTCAAACCCCACATCAGTCTCCACAGTGATAACCATCTCCTTTACCTCCCTGGCCCGTTTTACCACGGTTGTCACATCTCTGGTTTGCCAAGAGCCTTTTTTGAGAGATACAAGACTTATGTTCCCCAGTGGTGTTGCAAATGCAGAATCGTGGGGGGATCCATAGAAGAGAAGCTGCTGGGAGGGCTGGTGGGAATGCCAGAGTGCAGTGGATAGGTGTCGAGGCTTTCTGAAGCGCCATGGCCTTTGGTGGTGGCGGGGACGCCTGTTAAGGAAGTGAAAAGAGGCAGAAAGGATGATCTCGGAGTTCTGAATTGAGGACAAGTTGAACTGGAGCACCTCTCTGCCATGCAGAACTCCTGGAAGACAAGAAAATTACAAATAAGGGGGGCAAGAAAAACTGGTGATGCCATCACAAAAAACGGAAAGCTGTATTGAGTCAGAGTAAGAAAAAGGGACAGATTCAAGAAGCACTCTCCCATATGTTGTTTAGCACTGCATTTAAGCTGGCTGAACAAGCTATTAAACTTTTCTTTACTTCTGAAGAGATGCTTTAAAGTATATAGTGCTGTTATTTGACCTTTTTGTGTTCATACCCCAATATCTCACTCTTTTTGCATACAATGTTTTTATGACAAATTATGTTTTCCCACTGACATAGTATTGGGTCATTTCTGGTCAAGTTTTTTAGTAAATATAGTTTAGTTTACTTTCTGCATATAGAAAATTTTATATGCATATAAAACATCATGAGACCAGGATTATGAGACTGTACATGTGTACACTTGGGCAAAAAGCAGAAGCAATAAAGGTACACGGGTAAAATAAAAAGAAAAGTCCTAGATCAAGACTTAAAAATCACAAGATGTTTAATTCCAAGAAAAGAAAAACTAGTTCCTTTGGGAAAACAGTATCAGCACTGGTGCTCTAAAGCAGAAAGCTTTAAAGCTCAGGAAACATTCTGATGTCATTGCAAAGTTGAAAAATAACGTGGCATGTCCTTTTTTCCAGCGTTTTATTGTCATTAGACTGTCACAAGTACAGAGCAGTGAAATAAACTCTCTGGATTTAACCCATTCCTTGGGGAGCAGTGGGCTGCCAATGTGCGGCGCCCAGGGAGCAGTGTAGGAGTTAAGGGTCTTGCTCAGGGACCCAGAGTGGAGGCTGTGGGTCTTGAACCTCAGGATTCCAAGCGCAATGCTCTAACCACTAGGCTACCACTCCCAAAAGCTTGCATTAGCGTGAAGGGTCTTGCCTACGGACCCAAACTGGCAGCTCATACCCCCCAGTCGGGATACAAACCCAGAAATTCCTGTCTGCGGGAAGGGTGACTTACCACTTGCTGATCCTTGCTAATAGTGGTACTAGTGTTAGTAATGCTTTAAGCCAATCCTCCAGGCTTTCAGTTTTCCACGAGACGTGGGGCCATATGCACGACTGTTTATGTGAGCTCATTGTGCACGGTGCTGGAATTCTATTTAGACTGAAAAAAGGTATTTTGAAACACTTCCATGGTAGACACTTGAAGTAGCTTAATTATATGATCTTTACGCTGATGACTGGCTTAATTACTCATTTTAATCATCTGTCTAACTCTGCCCAGTTTCTTTCTGCCGTTCATCTGATCCTCCTGCCCCTACCTCTGTTTAACCAGCTTTCTAACCAGTCTTCAGGGCGAGATTATTCTCGAGCCAGTGGGCAGTGTCTACCTGCGTTACCTGACTGTTTCTGATTATCTGTTCTGCCTCTCAACCTCTGAGCATGCCTGTTCCTGTCTGATCCGTTTGCCTGACCTTTCTTTGGACTCCTGCTGGATTCTGCCCGCTTGCTGAACTTGCCTCCTGACACCGACCTGGATTTCACTTTGGAACATCTTCTGATCTCCTAGTTCTGAATGCTGAACACGTCCTCGACACCAGCTTTAGCTTCACTCTGAATTATCCTGCCTTTCTTCAGATCTGATCTCTTGCTAGTTCTCTGTCCTCTGGGACTACGGCGTTTGGGACTCTATGAGCGGCGCCCGCCACGTCTTGTTGGCAGCCGACTGGCTGGAATCAACCACGTTCTCCCGCCACGGACTGGACTATTAAACCAGGTTAGTGACTCAGATTCATAATCTTCCTGCACAGATTTACGTGGTCACTAACCTGTTTTATTTCTGCAGCGGTTCCGGCCTTGGATGCCCTAGCTGCTAGAACTGCAGATCTGTTGGTTATAAATAAACGCTTTTGAATTAGATGACTGTCTGTCTGCCTTGAATACTGGATCTGCTGTTTTGAGCCATGGAATATTTTATCATAATCAAGCAGATTATTATGTTACAGGGATATAACATGACTATTTACTTTTAAAAAAAGCCAATGTCCTGAAACTGATGGAGTACTGTAAAAGCCACCTATCTAAGTGGGGTCAACTTATTTATATTATTTTGAGGAGTTGCACAAATAAATATTGAATTTTTTAATGAAATATAATCAATTATGTCATATGGGACATTTATATTGCTTTTATTAGTGTGTGTTCAAATCAGAATACTGTTTATTTACTGTATTTCTGATTAAAGGTATTCTCACAGCCTCATGACAGCTGACATTGTTCTTTCTTTACTGCTTTTTTTTTACAATCTGAAACAAAAACAAACACTTGCAATCTGATTTCATGTTTAACTGTTATTTTGTCAAAGAGATGTGAAACGTAAAAGGAGGCCTTTCGTTGAACCTGTAATAAGTTTTTAACTTGTCTTTGTCGTTTCTTCTCTCGGGTTTGAGGTGAATGAATAAAAACAGGATCGGAAAAAAAAGCACTAACCACAACGTGTTTCTCAACACATCTGAGCAGAGCAGCATGGAAAAGATTAGGAGCTGCACGGTTAAGTGCTTGCCTTATGCATGACCAAAAAACCTCATCCCTGATAGCTATACTCTTGAAGTTCAGCCTCGTCTCCCGCACTTCCACCACAGCCTGAAAGACAAACATTGGACCGGTCCAGTAGGTCTCTTGCAGGCATATGGAAGTGCTTATTGGAGAAAAAGTTAGACCTGAGGCTTTTTTTGGTGTGCAGCCGGTGTCTGGCTGTGATAATAGTTACTTGTCTAACACCTAGGCTTCTACATCTACTTTGGAGGCAGTAGAGTTTGACTCCTTCAATCGCTCTAATATAGTAAATCACAACACTGTCGTAGGAGATTTAGCCAAAAGGAAGCTGGCTAATCCAGGGGCAATGATGATACAAACAGAACATTTTACTGAACATTTAAAGTCTGATTAGACCCTTTAGGCAGATACTTTGGTAATCTAAGGTGTCCTGTGTGAGTGAAGTATGCAAAAACTAAGCAACATGTGCTCAAGGCGGATATATATCCCATAAACCTCTTCATTTAAAAAGTGAAGTCGAAGACTAGTCTAAACATTTATAGCACAAATGATTACATATAAATACGGTATTTGTACTTTTACACAGTGGATGATGGTGCAACTAAAACCTTCAATGTGTTTTACTGATATCTTCTAGAAAAGAAAAAAACAAATGATACTGTTTCCCCTTAAATCAATGCTGTTTTTAAACAGAAATAAAGCTGCAATCTGGCCTTTTTCCCTCACCTACTTTACACACATAGAAACTGAAATTAGGTCAGATTGAAAAGAGACTTTCTTTTAACAGAAAATTTAAAATGTTAAAGCCTGTAGTCTAGAAGCAACTTTGACTATAGGCTATTCTAACACATACATCATCTAAGCCATTCATGGTTGAATGTTTACGTTCGTCCTGCTGAAAGGTAAACCTCCCGCCTAATTGTAAATCTTTTGCAGCCTCAAAAATATTTTCACCCAGATGCGCCCTTATTTAGAGGTGGGTCATAACTATGGAGTTCATTTTGTTCCATTATTGTTGCAAGCAAAGAGGATATTTTGTAAAGGGCAATAAGACAGGAAAAAATATAAATTAAAATTTGAGAAAAAAAACATTTTTAAGTTTTGGGAGTAAATTTCTCAGATTAATATTTAACAAATATATTTTTATATTAAATATATGTATTAGATTTTCTAATTGTATTTCGTAAAGGTTTTCCTCTTCAGATTGAGTGTCATTAATTGCGTTCTTTTTAAGTTGCATTTTATTCTCTTCCCTGTGGGGGCGGGCTTTTCAACTCTATTGGTCTACTGGACGTTAGCCACAGTACTGTATTGGTCAGGAGAGGGTGGCTCTGTTCGAATTCATGGGCTGCGTCTTCCAAGGACGCGGTCGACCTAGACTGGATCCTTCGAAGTCCGTGAAAATAAGAAGACCGGCTGTGAATTCAAACAGGTCTACCCTTCGGCGGGTTTTACTGCCGTAGGCTACGTTGCTTAGCAACCGTGAAAGTTGACACACAAAGCAGGAAAAGAATGAATACCGAAGTTCTCAAAACTGTTTTTTATTTATTTATTTTTTATTGTGAAGTGAACAAAGACTATACTCACAAAAATACAGATTGAAATAAAGGTTCCAACCACCGGGAGCAGGAACAAATAAAATCAAATGTAATTTTGCACATCTCTGATGATGCTGCTATTTTAAGATATCCATTATTGTAAAAATGTCCATAGCTGCATATTGGTTATTTATTCTCAAGGTGAATAGTTTTATGTTGTTAAAACACTTTATAGTATTATGTTATTCTCATACATTTTTCTAAGGTCCTCATTTGTGTGACCATTTTCAATAATCTTTCTGCTGCATTAAATTTGCCCATTGTGGGACAATAAAGAGATTTTCTATTCTATTCTATATTATTCTATTCTATTCTATAAAAGGGGTAGAAAGATATAAGTAAATCTAAACAATGTATTTATAAAACATATATCTGCAAAATCTCTAATATTCAACAACAAAAAGGGATTAGTTAAGCAAATTGTGTAAAACAGCAATAAAAAAAATAAAAATCCTATCAGATTTATAGTCCCCACCCTGCAGATATATTAGAATCTGTCCTTAAATTACAGCCATACTAATTTACACAGTAACAGATAAAAACCTTTAGATAAATCAAACATTGCCGCCACATATCTGACTCAACAACCATTAAAACAACTATTTTCATTCATCTCAGTCGGAACTATTCACAGAGTTGTATTATATTAAACTGAACTTCCAATTTTCACCACTGTTCGGCGCCAAGTAACCTTTACTCTGATCACGGAGCAGCCAGCTTGCTTGGTCTTGCAATGAATCCTGGGAAAACCAAGGATACTGAGGATACATCGGACCCGTCCTTCAAATATGGAGTTAAAAGGAGGACGCATTTTAAGGTCGCACAACGAGGACTCTTGGAATCCGACCAGACCTCCGCGCTGCGCTATGATGAATCGTACTACGAATCTGGCCTTCTGAGGACGCAGCCCATGAATTCGAACAGAGCCAGTGTTTCGATTAGACTTAGTCAGGGGTGCCGTATGGGGGGGGTCAGAAGATTCTAAGAGCCCTTGACTGGGGGGGACCCAAAAGAAGTAGAAAAGGTTTGTCCTGCTATATTTTTCAAATATAAAAAGAAAATCCAGCAGTGAAATAAATTATCTTTGTAATCTCCCTCATTTTTCAGCAGTAAACGGTGAAATAAAGCATGTATATATTGAATATATGAATAGATTTTTATACCATCAAAATATATTATACCATAAATACATTACATTATATATCATATTATACTATGCCCTTTTACCATTAAAATACAAATATTGATCATTCTCCTGAGCAGCCTGAAGCAGCCACACCGCAAATACATGTTTTGTTATTACACATATACAAGAATGAAAAATGAGTTGTCAGGGCCAGCATAAAAATAACCTGCCCTTGAATATGGTTATAGCGAAACCTAATCGTTATATTTAACTTTTTCACATTATGGTCATTTTCCTTTGTAGAAATTTTACAACAATGTAAATGATACTCTTTAGTGCATCTTTACAGGAGTTTTAGAGCTTGCATACTTTTTTTTTTTTGGGTGGGGTGGGGGGGCAATATCAATGATTATGTCTTTCATGGGGGCCCAATTTCCTGGCGGCGCCCCTGGACTTAATGCCAAAAAAATAGAAAAAAATAAATAAATAGAAAAAAAAAAGCTGTACCAATTTGAGAAAAGAATGAGGGTTACTTTGAACAACTTGTTTTGATTAATAAGTTCATTTCTGGATTGCTTTTTCTGTCATTTCAGTTTAACAAACATGCACTTTGCTTGAAACAATAATGGAGTAAAATTCCCTCCGTATTGTGAAGTATTGCTCCTTCTGTTAGAATAAAATGTCTGGTTACTCCGTTCACCACCAGCTGTTCATCAGCTATTTAAATATCAGGTAAAACTACAGTAAACAGCAGCTGTTGTCGGTGGAAGTTCTTTATCCTTTCCTCACATGTATCCATTACCTACTGTAAACATTTGTAATTGACCGACTTTGTTATTTTTTAAACATGTTTTCTAATTGCATTTCTTCTCTTTTCTTTTTCACTTTAAAATATTAGAATTTGCGAAAATGCAAAAACAAAATCAGTTAAGGTCCTTTTCTTAAGCTAACAATTTGCACACGGTTTGGTTGAGTTAGTTTACCCAAGGTTTATTATTAATTATTTTATTTCCACAGATGTGAAACAGCAAGAAAATGAAGCATATCAACTCAAACACCATGAGGAGTCTTGCTGGATCGATGATTTCCACCCTGGCACCAGAACTACTCCGCCATCCAAACTACAACCTCAAAGTTTCTACAGTCATCCAAATACTTTCCCCATCAGGATCAAGAGAAAACATAATTATGATGGTTTACAGTTAAATTTTGGAAACTAATTTTGAACATTGCACTGTTCTCTTGTGGTTCAGCAGAACAGCTACTTTCAGGCTCATGTGTATATTGAGATACCCAAAATATTTTGACATAGTTTTTTTTTTTTGTTGTTGTTTTGTTTTTTTGTTTTTGTTTCTTTACATATTTTGTGGTTGTATTAAAAAAGGAATGATTTACCCACACTTATCTAGTTACAGTGCTACCTAATATATAAAGTACTAATGGTTTTCCTACAGCAAAGATATTTGTGTGATTTGGTGCCTTTTCCTGCACACAATATTTGTTCAGTCTTAGTGGTAACTAATAGTGAACCTCCAAAATCAGTAGAACTTCCCTGGTTTGTTCTGGTTTGTCTGCTTGTTATGTTTTTTGGTTAGTTTCAGTGGTTGATGGACTCACTATGGGATGTTTAATATTATTTGCATAATTCTGTCTTATATTTCTTGACATTGTTTTTCATAATTGTTCTCTAATGTTAACCTCTGGAAGCTTGTTTATAAACTAAATGGTAATAAATTGGCTCCAGACTGAATCACTTTGCTACAACTTCATAATGCTATTTAATTTTTTGTTGTATAGAATCTCAATAAAATACGTTTGTAGCTGGACAGGAAAGGTGAAAATGTGTGAAAATGTCTCGGCTTCTAATGCAGATCAATAAATACTTGAATCGTTTTTCCAGAAGTGAATCCTGGTGAGCAGACACTCACTCGGGACGGCTTTGAAGCTCCTCACGGTGTTTCCATCCCTGCGGCTCTGCGGCTCCTTGCTGTACCTCTCATACACCTTGAACATGTTGATGGAGACCATGTCCTGGTTCTCCTGCGCAAAGACGCGCTGATCCACGGGCGGCGGCGCTCCATCCTGACCTTCCGACCCGGGCTGCGTCCCGCCGGGTTGGAGGGTCAGAAGCAAAAGGAGAAGCCGGATCGCCATGAGAGATGACCTGAAACACAAGAGCCGCTGTGGTTTCAGCCTGACTTCCAGTCGGATTCCGGATGATAAAATCCTCCACAGTCTGAGGTCCACGGCTGTCTGTGCTGGAGGAGCGCGGCCCCTGGTTAGACCCAGCTCAGCCCGGCCCAGACGCACGCGGCTGGATGACAGAAGGTGACGCCCCCTGAGCGCAAAGCCAACAGGAGCCCGGCAGCCAATTAGGTGAGCTGCAGCTCAACAGTATCACAGGATGCAAAGTCCACAGCTCCCGTCACAACAGTCAGAGGAGAATAACAGAGAATACATGTTTGATTATTGGATCCCTGCTGCACCATTCAGCCCCAATGAAGCTCCGCCGCATCCATGGAGAACAGAAGAGTCCAAACTTACGGAGCTTTGAAGGGAACGCCAGACTCCATCTACCCCCCGTCCCCACCCCCCACAAACATTTTTCATATATATATATATATATATATAT